TATCGGACAATAATTGGCAATCTGGCCGAGCATGAGCTCCAAACTGCTAACCTTTTGTCTTGCAGTTCTTCTAATAGCTTCACGGACGTCTTCCCCATCGTCAGTCATGCCCCTGAGTGGCGTGGCCCTAGTTTTCTTATGCCAGACTGCCCTGTCGGCAAGAAATGGAGTAAAATTTGTGTCCAAAGATAATGTATAAAGGAGATTTTGCCTCCAGTTCTCGAAAGAATTTACAGTCTCAATCTTACCGAGGCACCATTGCTTCGGGGCACGTTGAGCGTTGGCCATAATGACAGTCTTGTTTACTCTGCGTTATCCAGGCAGTCTACCGCCTGACATGTTGATCACGTTCAGTGAAAGTATGCAAGTACTACAGTTCGTTGTGCTGCCTGCTTCGTTAGACGTGAGTTCAAACCCGCTGCCACCACGCCAGTTAGGTTAGAGGGAACTGTACACTTGTCACACATCGACAGGACACAGGTAAAGACTTGATGATATTTATTAGCAACACTCGAAACGAACCGCGAAACCCAAGCGAGCCTCCCAAGACAGGCGAGCTACCAAGGGGAGCTAACCCTGCTTACATTAAAGCATGCCAAGCAAACCTGCGTTGGCGCTACCTGTATTACTTCAGATTTCTTCAAAGCAAGGATTATAGGCATGGACTAAAGAAAATGATCAAAAACCTTAGATGTGGCTGAACACAGATTTAAGAAAGATGGCTTCTAGCGATTTCGAAAAGAACCTATATAATCTTATGGATAACTCAGTATTTGGTAAAACTATGGAGAATCTAAGGAAGCGTGTTGATGTTAAATTGGTCAGATCTAATGAGGAAGAAAGACTTTGGAAACTTATATCTAGTCCGGCTTTTAACAGAAGTAACATATTTGATAATGACTTAGCGGCACTACAAATGCGGAATAGTAACATAAAATTCAACAGACCAGTGTACGTTGGTATGAGTCTTCTTGACTTGTCAAAACACTTAATGTATGACTTTTATTACAAAGAACTTAAGAAGCAATAAGGTGATAGATAAAAGGTGTTATATACCGATACCGATTCTTTGTTGATGGAAACATAAACCGAGGATGTGTATAAAGATATTGCAGAAAAAATAGATATGTACGATACGAGTGATTACCCAAAAGATAATCCATTGTACAGCACAGTAAATAAAACGGTATTAGGTAAGATGAAGGATGAATGTGCTGGAACTCCTATTGCGGAGTATGTTGGATTAAGACCTAAGATGTATTCTAAAAATGGGGAGATAAGAAAAGCTAAGAGTGTTAAGAAGTATGTGGTAAAAAAGCATATCAAACACGAACAGTATAAAGAAGCATCAATCAATGGTAGAACATTCAAACATCATTATCCCCCTTAGATATGAAGAGATGGATTGATAATGATGGTGTAACTACCTATGCTTATGGTTACTTAGGGAGGTAATACAGTATCCCTGGGAACTATGAGCAACTCTTCTCATACAAATGCCCTGCTCAGTCCATCTTTAAGATTATATGGAAAAGGCTCTCCTTCTTTCATAACCAATGGACTAATGTTATATATCTTTAGAGACCATACCGGGTCAGTTGCGCGACGTTGGCCTCCTTCTAGTTCCCCGGGCTGGTTTAAATACCTTCGCTTACTCTATCCGGAAGTTTTTGTTCTTTGCCTCTCCATGGTGCTGAAGATTCGGAAATTACAGATTTCATTTTAGTCACATCGGATGGTTTCTTCCCGATAAATCTTGTTGTTTCATTATATAGTGCTTATACAACAGCTGATAATCGTGTCACCCATTCCATTTATCTTAATCAAACTGATTTCATTTCAATCCCATACTGATATCCGAACAAACGTTCTGCTAACGTCCGGGTAAATCTTTCAACGATAGCTTGGCTACGGTGGGCATCTTTTTCACCACGCCTGATTGCGACATCGTGCTTTGTTATTAGTTTAGTTACTGATCCCATAAACTCGCGACCAGGATCTACCGTATATCGCTGTGTATAAGGCGAGTTTTTCGTACCTAAAATGAGGGGTCTAAGAAGGGGGGTCGTCTTATACACGGAGTCGAAGATCTCACATTTTTTTCCACTGGCGATGTCAACCGGCGTACGATAGCCAGCCCAGCATTTGACAATAAAACTTCGCATTTCGTCCTAAATAACTGTTCCAATAACTATTTCCATACATAAACATGATTTGTATCTCTTTTCCTTGAATAAAGTTTAATAATTTCTGCAAATAAAGTTGAAATGACCCTCGCCTCGATGCAGATTGTCAAACCACCTGTCACGGTAAAAACAATCAACATCCGTGAGTAGAGAGCCGGATGTACCGGTAAGCATTTGCATATTGCACATGTGGCCTAACATGTGATAACCGGTGAAGCTGAAATCAATTCCCGCTGTTTTTACAGTTGTATTAACAAGTGTTGGAGACGGTGTGTACAAGTGATTGTGGAATAAACACGCTGAATGTGAAGCAAACATAAGCCTAGTTAGTTACAACATAGTGAATTGGCGATTAAATTACTCACCATTGTCTCTTATATGTTATTACTTCATAAATGAATTTTATTTTACGGGCACAAATTTGGTGTCGTACCATGTAAACACAAAATGGCGACGTGTGCTTGAGTTACACACGTGACCTATCATTGTAGAAAAAAACAACAACGCAAGATAAACATATTTTTATTGCATATATAAGGTTTGTGTGCGCACTTGTGATGTCCGTGTGCGAAATACGCTACAGTCGGAAAGCGCACGTTAAATCTTCTATATCAGTCAGACTTGTGATGTGTTTCAATCCAGGTCGCCTTATTACACGGAGTATAGGATTTTGGGTTGATTTTTAAGGCGTATACAGGGGGGTCGTCAAATACGTGGGGTCGCCTTATACACAGCGATATATGGTACTTGAAACAACTTAGGCCATTGTAATTGTCCGTGTTTATATATGCGACCCAGTGCATTAGCTACCTCTGTTGAATCGTTCGTGGTTAATGGTTCAGCCTCTTTGTAGCGATTAGCTACATCTACTACGGTTAAAGCATATTTATATGTTTTGCATCTTACCTTATCATGAGGAAGAAACAAGAGGTCAGCCTGATGGATTTTATTCGTTGTGAAAATATCAAACTTTTTCCTCGGTATATAACCCTTGTTTCTTTAACCAATCCTTGGCCACATCTTTAGAACCTTAGCCACAGCGGCTGGCTTTTGTATTGCTCCTATACCTTTCCAATATCCTCGCGGGCTCTAGTAAATTTTATCCATTATTAAACAATATTAATCTTTCTTTTAACACGATCCATGACGATCGTTGGATCGCATCACAGGTTTTGCATAAAAAATGACCTCCGTAGTAGCATCTGGCCTAGGTGGCAGTGCGGTAGAACCCCTATTCCCTATACTACTCTCCCAATACTAGGGCTGCACGGTATTACCTGTACACCGGTAAACTGCAATAGGAAATTGAAACAATTACCAATACGTTTGTGATGTACCAGTATATTGACAATGATTTTGTGTTTTCAAATTTAACTTGCTTTACTTTTTCAACACCATAGGCGGTAGATCATCTGTATGGGCAAAGAAGCATCAAGTCCCTGGACACTGTAGGCCGGTAGACCGGCCAAACCGTAGTCACGCCAAAATAGTATATAATTTTATAAACCTACCTGTTATATCATTCATTTATTAAATCTATCACATTTCACAATGATTGAAATACCTATCCAATTTCAATTTATCATTTGTTATCGATAGATTAAAAAATTATTCACTATGTTATTGAAAATATAATTCTTGGACACACTTCGACAACGGGTCCACAACGAACATGCAAAATAAAGTCGTTTCAGGCAGATCTTTAAAAATATTATAGATCTACAAAGTAATAAATAAAAGTTGTCAAACTTGCAGCTAAGATATCATTTCCATCTTTTCGTGTGATCGCGGGTAATGTAAATCAAATGACATCTCGGCTTTCGTCGCTTGGAATTCTTGGCCACGATGTTTAATGCCAAAATATATGCATGAAAAATCTTTGTCACAGCTCGTAACCTAGCACGTTACATCCACGAAGCGATTTCCTGCTTAAAATGTTCAGAACAGCACGTTTTAACAAAAATCTTTCGTCAAAATCTGAAATTAATCATACACGAGTACGATACAATAGCTGTAATTTGATTGGCTGCTTTAGGTCACATCTCAAATTTGACCAATCACGAACCTTGTAGCAGATTTCGGCAAGAAAGCTTCATTAGAAACCAATTTCTATCCAATGAAATCGCTTGTTACAACTACGAAAAGACCACAAACACTGGACCAATATACATAAATACCTCCAACATTTCTTCTTGAACCTATGAGCTGAACGCATCCATGATATCACTGAGTCTAGAGCAATGATACCACTATTATTTACTGCATGTTGGACTTTACCATTATGGTGCCTTAAACAGCTATTCTTGGTTCGAATAGCAAAGCCAGTCAGACACAAATACAATTGTGAGTTTTGTCTGAATGTTCTGGTTTTTCCTTTGTATTTTGTATAAACCTAAACATTGTATGATTGTACTGTGATTCAATTTGGAGGTAAAAGAATCTTAAACAGTGGACAAAACTCAACAAGTTTTCTTCCACAATATATTGCAGTATGTATTGCAGTACAGAGGAACGTATCGCAATATATCGCAATACGAAATACACAGCCTTACCCAATAAATACAAAATAATAGAATTCAAGAACTCAAGACTCCAGAGAATGAGGAAATATTGTAGGACAGCATTTTTTACATTTTGTCAATAAAATAAATGTTGTGAGATGGTTGTGGGAATGTTGTTGCCAACGTAGGAAAATAACGTCACAACATTGAGAAAACTCTACACTCTTATGTTGCCACAATGTTGTCAACCAATGTTGTTGGCAAACACAAAATATCGTTCACTCAACAGAAAATTGTTAGCTGGGGTACTCACTTCGAGGTTCCCCACCAGCCAAGGATGGTACTTCCCATGGAGAACTACTAAAAAGTGAGTATGTCCGTGACTGAGGCACTCCTTTTCCTCCTCCATTCTGACCATCTCTGAAAGTATATAATTTTATATTTTTTTTAAATAGTGTATTCCTCATGCAACATCAGATGACATCATGCATCATATTCAGTATGATGTGTTAAAACTAGAAATCAAACAATAGTTATCATTTTGTAATAATTCTAAGTATACTACCTCTATTACATCATAGCAATAACTTCCTGTTTAGGGTGTCAGTCACACAAAAAAATCTTTCAGATTTTCAACAGCCGTGCTCTTTACTTCCAGCATATCTAATAGTTGTGAGGAAAACCCTATCCTCCACAGGAAATGCAACCGTGCATGCATGTAGTGGGAAAACATATCTTTTGTTTACCAATAACCCTCATAAACGAGATTCAGATATATTGGGGAAGAGGGAGAGACTAATTCCTGATGTAATAGAGGTAGTATTCTTTGATATCACAGCGCCACTACACGCTTTTGTTTATTCCAACTTTTGGTTGAACCGATCCTTCTGATTTTTCTCTCAATGTTATGGTTGCAGAATAAACTGCATTGAGTTGAGACTGTGGTGTTGACTTAAACCTTGGCGTGGTGGCAGCGACTTTGAATCCACGTCGGAATATCATTCCAACACACAGGATTGACCTTTCAACCGTACACCCTCAAATTACATCAATCAGTGAGCAATTCATACATCAAACGAACTGACAGTCAGCCGTTGTATTGTAGTGCAAGTAAGTTCGTTATAGTACATGCGCATTGTGTAAGCATTATGGCTCAGCAATGTGCACCAAAGCAGTGGCAGTTATAACGAAACGAGACTATCAATTCCTTTGAGAATTGGACACCTACCAATCCAAACAGAGGTCTTACGAATGTCTATGCCACTCGTAGAAAAACAGCAATTCAGAAAAATGCTCAACTTGGCTTGATGGTATGCCAGATTGCTAATTTCTGGCCTGTTATTTCAAGAAATTCTATAATCAAAAACTCAACATCCGTTCAGGATATTTGGCAGAAAATAAGGCAACATTATGGTTTCCAGTCTACTGGTTCCCATTTCTTGGACATTAAGCTACAAACTGATGAAGGTCCTGAGGACCTGTATCAGAGGATCATGGCACTTTTCGAGGATAACTACCTGTGATATCAGACACCATGGTCAAGCAATAACTGTTGATGAAGATCTCACACCTACCATGGAAAATATGACAGTGACTTTGTGGTTGCAGTTAGTCAATCCAAGCCTCCCTTCCCTTGTGAAACAGAAATATGGAGCTGAACTCCGCAACCCGACTTTGGCTTCCCTTAAGCCTGAAATCTCCCAGGTTTTATCATCATTGCTCAATGAATTAAGCAGTATTGAGGACCCCAAGCCTTTATAAGCGTACACCCCAAGTGGCTACACCATGGCCAGGTAAAATACACAATCTCGTGGAGGAAAGCCAGCATCCTCGAGTAAGACATGGCAATACATCCTCTGTAGGACAGCAGGGTGTCCTTCTTATAACACACACTCTGTGAAGTATTGTCGGTGCAGAGGCGCATGGCAGATTCCGCCTCGTCCCCAAGGAGGAAGAGGAGAATGCATACCGTAGTGGTGAGGAAGAGGCTCATGATGAAACAAACTTGCTCCTCGACCACCATAGTATCAAGCGTGTCAATGTTGAACCTTCACTGTACCTGAATGCATTCTATGGAAGTCATCCTGTACGTCTTACTTTGGATACTGGCGCTACCACGAATTTGGTTCAGGCCTCCTTTGCTTAAGCCATCAACCTGCCGATCACTAAGGCATCCCAACGAGCCCATCGGGCCGATGGTGTCACCCCATTAGAAGTGGTAGGCGAGGTTCAGTGTACTCTCGGTCGTGGGGACTTGGAGTTCTAACTGGACGCCCTCGTTGTGAAACAGCTGGATGTAGATGTTCTTGCAGGAAATCCATTCCTCAAGCTAACAGACATCGAGGCTAGACCAGCCAAGAACCAAATCATCATTGGAGGATCTAAGGTCGTCTACTAGGGCCAGCAATTGGACACAAGTGCTTACATGCGACGTACTCAGGCCTAGATCCAGGGTAGAATAGGTCTTCAGCAACCCATGCTCGCCGTAAAAGGCGACTATGCTTGTCGTAAGAGGCAACTAACGGGATCGGGTGGTCAGGCTCTATGACTTGGTTGATGCTTGTCATCGTATCCCAATTGCGTGAATCGATGCTCACGACATCAATCACTGGATTGTCTGGTCCAGACACGATTATTTACAGACCGCTGTCATAAGCTGAAATATTGCTGAGTTGTGCGTTAAACAACAAACAAACAAACATCATCAGGCTTTATACTTCAACCTTATCATCAATCTATCATTATTCAACCTTGTATTACAAAGACCATGCGCTTTGCTATTTAAAACGCAACCCTAAATAAGCTCCACCCACTGTGATTGATCCTGACGCTCAAACACGCATTTTTTATGATAAAACTACAGAAAATTTATTGACTTATATCAAGATATGAAGCCATTTGTGGTATCCAAGGTTTGTCATTCAAGTTGATACGAAGTTTGATCTTTGGTGATCTTATTTAGGCACAGTTTTCGAAAGCTTCTCTTGGCACTCAGTTGTGTTTATGTTGCCAGTCACTGTTCGAAACTGAAACACCGCCACCTTGTGGGCTATTTATAGTTAGGGTAAGTAGTGTTGACAATGTTATTTTAGCATAATGTTTTTACAGTTGGATTATGGGGATTAAGGTTTGCTTACATTGATACTTGGACACCACAAATTATGTCATAGTTTATATGGCATTTAGATCAAACATTGTACACAGCATTTAAATTAAACATTGTTTCAGTAGAGATAATTATTAAATGTTTTGGTTTATGTGACAAGGTATTTAAGGTTTAATATTTTGGTGTTTTAGAACATTGCAAGCATTTTTTTATTTTGATACTTTATTTTGTGCAATGACAACACAAGAAAGAGTAAAAACAATATAATTTAAAACAAATTTGGATATATACGCTATATACATGGGGGCTGTACGGTTGCACACAGAATTGTTCTGTGGACGGGAAGTTAGTTCCTAGGGCCATGCCGACCTGCAAGGATAGGGATACCCTACGGGTAGAGGGGTCTAGAGGGAGCAGATTATTATGGAATTGAAGCATAGGAGTGCCGAGTGGATATGGAATTGGAAACTGGTGGCTGCGCCGGACCAGGTAAAGTAATGGATTATTTGGGGGCCCCAAGCCATGTTATGCTGCCTGAGGCATGAAATGGCTTGAGACACCCAAACGAGTTTGTGTATGACCAGTGCCGTAGCCAGCCAGGAGGGCAGGGAGGGCAGTTGCCCCCCCTGGATTTTTTACAGAAAACATTTTTCCTTGCAGTGTGCGAGCTCAGCCTATGTTACCGCTTATAAATGAAAACCAAGCCTCGCTTTCACACAGGTTATAAATAGATTCAATGCTAAAATCCCAATAGTGACGTCACAACCCCTGTCACAGGAAGTGAAAAATCCTGGGCTCTAAACCTACCTCATATAAACCTGTTATTACAAATTCTATATGAACATGTAGTAATGTTTTCATATATTTCCCATTTCCACATATGTCAGTTTATCAAAATAATACCAAGTATAACCCATCCATGCACTGTAGAAGCTGTGAGAACATGTTTATTGAAGTCACGTGACCTCAAAATATTCTCTCCCAGGGTAGAAGTCATTCACAAAAATATGGGTTCCATCTATCTTAAGAAGAGAGGAGGGGCCAATTCCTATGTTTCCTGCAATCACTGATCACTAAGCTTCCTATATCCAACTTAAAATAGGAGGAGCTACAACTGTAAACATGTTTTAATTGGATAAAAGACAGTCCCCAGTTTCCCCCTCGAAGTGACCAAAAAGTCCCACAAAGTGCGGCCAGAAACATAAATAAATCTGGCACCTTACAGATAGCATCACATTCTAGTGACAGATATGTTAATTTAGGGCAGTTTAACACCATTTGTTTAAATTTGTGTTGACTGATATGTCATTGAGGGTCTAATTTGTTTGTCAGGGGTCTAAATTGATGGTTTACAGGTTGTGGTGTTTGACATTTGGTTCTTCCTGTCTTAAGCTGTCTGGGAATAGTTTGTTAATGTTATCACACTGAAGTAGTATAGGTAATGATGGTTCTGCCGCAACCCAACTGGAGCCGGATTTATATACCTATACTGCTACTACAGGGGGAATTTTTTTATGCCAAAATGATTATGCGATTCAACGATAGTCATAAGTCGTATTAAAAGAAATATCAATATTAATTAATAATGAATGAAATTTACTATAGCCCACGAGGATATTGGAAAGGTATAGGAGCAATAAAAAAATTAGCCACCGCGGCTAATGTATCTAAAGATGTGGCCATGGATTGGTTAAAGAAACAAGCAATGTGGCAAATATATTTACCGGCACCGCGTTATATACCGAGGAAGAAGTTTGATATTTTTACAACGAATGAAGTTCATCAGGCTGACCTCTTGTTTCTTCCCCACGATAAGGTAAGACGCAAAACGTATAAATACGCTTTAACAGTAGTGGATGTGGCTAGTCGATATAAAGAGGCTGAGCCATTACCTCGAAAGATTCAATAGAAGTAGCTAATGCACTGAGCCGCATATATAAACGCGGACCACTAAAATGGCCTAAGCTATTTCAAGTAGATCCAAGGATAAATAACTAAACTGTTAACAAAGCACGATGTCGAAATCAGGCGTGGTGAAAGAGAGGCCCACCGCAGTCAAGCTATCGTTGAAAGATTTAACCGGACATTAGCGGAACGTTTGTTTGGCTATCAGTATATGGGATCAAAATGAAATCGGAGCTGTTGAGATCAACCGAATGGGTGACACGATTATCAGCCGTTGTATCAGCGCTGAATAATGAAGTGACGAGATTAATAGGGAAGAAACCATCCAATGCTATTAAAATGAAATCCGTGACTTCCGAATCTTCAGCACCGAGGAGAGGCAAAGAACAAAAACTTCCGGATAGAGTAA